GTTTTTTTTACAACTATTAAATATATATTTAATATATATTATATTAATTTATAATATTATTATAAATTTTTATTTATTTTTATTATTAATATTAATATACTATATATTATATTAATATATTATATTCTTTTAAAGGTTATAGTCAGATAAGGGGATGAAAAGTCGAAAAAATCGAAAAAACATATATATATATATATTGTCACTCTAGAACTTCTATATGAAATCTATGTTTTTTCGATTTTTTCGACTTTTCATCCCCTTATCTGACTATAACCTTTAAAAGAATTTATTACCATATCTACCTATGCAATTCCTATTACAGTAAATTCTCTCTAATTGACGCTCAGATTGTGTACGCAAATGGACAATTTAAGAAGAGGAGATACTATTATTCGAGCCTTTATAGTGTTTCTGATTATCAGCAACTCTAAAAACGAGCTGTATGGTTCGAATAATCATATCTCCTCTTCCCAAACTGTCCATTTTTGTGTAGAATCTGAGCGTCAGTTAAGGAGAATTTACTGTACACCTTTTGCTTCCGAGAACTGAATCGAACATTTTATGACAACGTAAGAGCGTAAATAAGATGTATATAGCACGTCGAGCAGCGACGGTCGGGGTCGACATTCAATCAGTTAGCTATTTTTAACGAGTATACTCGTCATGAAGAAATGACAATATTTTGCATTATGACGAGTATACTCATCCCGCGAAAATGTATGCGTAAATATTAAGATGCTTTAAATAGTCGAAGACTAAGACGAGATAAAACGAACAAATAAAAAAACATAAATAATTATTATGAAAAAACTGGATATAGTGTGAACAAATAGTTGTTTTTTATTTTGCGACACACTTTAAGTTTACTCTTTTCAAAGAGATCGTAACAGCTAACTGATTGAAGGAATTCCCTTGCAGCAGAAAATTAACGTGAAATAAAAAGAATTTCATTTGCAGCAATTACCGCCTTATCTTTACAATTGTGACAATAGACTAAAATGAGTTTAAACTCGATCTGAATCGAATTAAATTAATACTATTCTCGTATCAATCAATAAGCAATCTACGGAGCTAGTCGCGTAATTTGCATAACTCAAGTAACTTTTAGATTATGTTTCTTTATGAAAAATTGTTAAATACATGGTTTCAAAGATGAGTAAAGATCTTTTCATGTAAGGAGATTTCCATATTTTCAAGATCAACTAATTTAAAGTCATTTAATGTGTGTAAGTTACATGACTCACTCTCTATAATAATAAGCTCTTCATTAAAAGTAGTTCGATCTGCATCGTGTTTGGACTCATTTTAATCAGACGAATCTCAGATACAATTATAAAAGTATGACGAAAATGACTAAAAAATAATTTTCTTCCTTGCATGTTTGCTTTATCCAGTCGTTTCGTACTGATGTATAGTAAAACCTCGATTATCCGGACCAGTCTGGGAAAGTTCAATGTTCGGATAATGGAGCAGTTATTTAGTTTGAAGGCTGCCTGATATTCCTACTATGTTGTACAATTAATTTAGTTGCTGTGCATCGTTTTAGATTGCATTGTTTATATGTGAAACGAATTGGAATAATTAATAAGCTAGACAGTAGTGATCCGGATAATTGAAGCTTTACTCTACATCTGTTTCTTTTCTTTTCACTGCAGACATTCTTTGTCTCTATCTAATGGGATGGGGTCTCGCCGGATGTCGTGTAAATTTAACCGTGCCCCACTGTATCGTCGAACACGCAACGCACACGATCGTGCACGATTTTTAACTAACCCAGTTCCCTGCTACCGGCTACCAGCCACCGTTTCGCGAATGTAAATGGCGAAACGCTGTCGAGGGCACAAAGAACTTACCGGAAGTCGGCGGGACCACGGGGTTCGGTATGCCATTTAACGCGTGCGGCAATTGTCCGGTGGCTAACGCCGCCATCGGGTTGATGTACGTCCCCTGTGCTGTCGCAGCAGCCATGAGAGCCGCTTGCTGCTGTAAATAGATTTTCTATGTCGAATGCGTGGGAACATAATTTATTATCGATCAATCTGATAATGTTATACTACAGTTACGAAATCGGCAAGGAAAAACGTCGCATGTCGCATGTTTTCACTTTTCAGATATTGTCGCTTCGATTTTCGATCGCTAATTCTTTGTATCAGTAATGTTTCCTGGCTTTTTTTAATCTTTGGGTCCATCGAATTTGTTTGTGCGATCTTTTTTTCTTACAAGTATGTAAATCTTGTGTTCTACAGCTCGATTGACATTGAATTAAAATATCTGACATGTGTTGCTTTGTAAGAATTGCAAGATCGAATTTGTTTAGACATCTTGTTGTTTTTACTACAATGTGCACTTGAATTAAGAAATCTATTCTATCATTTCATACGGATGATACTTTATAATTTCAACAATTTTCAAATAAAAAATGTGGAATTTAGTGTTAATGTACGAAGTTATATTTTATGAAATTCTGAGATATGCGTCGTTTTTCCATACATAGTGTGAGCTATCTGTTGTTGTTTTTTAAATGGCTACAAAAAACCGTTTAATATCCTACAAACTTTCTTGTTTATTAAAAAAGTACATCTATCGATTAATTATGAAAAATACAGAAAGGTACAGAAATAAACTGCCGCTATGTGAAAATCTGACGCGATTCGGTGGTCACACACACGCAATTAGAAACGTGAGTAATAATTTTAGTAATAATTTCGAGAAATCTTGAAAACTGATGATGATGGTATTATATGAGGTTGGTTTTGATGAGATTGTGAAACTTCTTACATTTTCGCCAAAATGAACTTCAAACGTTACAATTTTTGAGAGAGTTACAGGTGACAATTATTGGAAAGTGTCATTTTAGCATTTCAATTGTCCGTTTTTTGTGTAAAAATAGGTGTGCAAGTTTTAATTGGGTGCATCGATTTATTGGTTTCGATTCGCGAATTTTCGTTTTCGAAACTACTATTTTGAGTAAAAGAAGCAAATGGCATAAGGATATTAGGACTTATCAGGACAGGCAATTTTTTAACATAATTTAATGCCATGTGTATTGATGATATTGTTTGGATTTATTGGGGCGACATTTGATAAGATAATACGTCCTGCCGGTACCAACATTGGGTGTGAATGTCGATGCTTGTTTTATTTATTTCTATTGTTTTCTGTTTCAATGTTAAGTGTTTGCGACTGTTTCTTTGTTGTGTCGAGATATATACATATTCTCTCATTCAATACACGAGAAAGGAATCTTGTGGCATTTGTTTCAATAATATTTCCTATTGGTATTGCATATTTTCTGATAATGATGCCTTCTACAGATTGTAGGTAGATATTTGTAGGTATATATTCGTGTTTTGTGATATTTGGCATAGGATATACCGGGTTTGGAATCGTTAGGGTAGTCGATTGGATTTTATACGTATTAAGGATTCTTGATAGTATCATAGTTGGTTATAGGTCAGATGCATGTATCCGCGATGGATCGTATGCTTATGGTCACCATCCATATCACATTGTTTTCACTACTTCTCTGCTACTATCACTAGCTCTGTGTGCGCTACTCGCGAAAGACCTAATATGAGCGAACACGTTTTCACTAGTCGACGATCGACCGAATGCACCTATGTTTATACAATTTTTTTTCTTTTAATACCATAGAATATACCGATGAGGAAGTTTGAACATTAAAACCTGGGACACCATGTATACTAGACGCAGGTAATCCTATGATAATTTCTTGAGCGCGTTTTCCGCGTTGTTATTCGAAATACGTTACGAGAAACATCAAATTCCATATCCTATTACCGTTGCGCGACGTTAACGGAGCATTATCGAATGTCGTCGATAATTTCTAACAAGACAGAAACTATTACAGGTTGTGATTCGTGATAACGAGGGCAACCAGACGGTAATGCGGTAACGCGAGAACCATTAACGGTAATGTGACCCACCTGAGCATAAGCGCCGTAAGCGCCGAACTGGTTGAAGACAAAAGGGTGAAGGAGGCCCATGTTCCCGGCCATTTGCTGCATGCGTCTTAGTTGTCTCTCTTTCTCAGTATCTGCAAATTTTACCACTAAGCTGGATGACGCACCCTGAAACACACATCGATTGTTTCCGTTAATAGAGCATTCACCCCATGCTACAATGTAACAATATGTTTGTGACATTTTATATATTCGGTCGTTCAGAAAATAATTTCGCTTTATCACAAATCAGTTTCATCAATTTTTTAACCAAACAACTTCGTTCTAAACTGTATTATGACAATACGGTTATGACTATAATATTTCAAGGTTATTTGCAAAAAATTTTGTTTCATTTCGTGGAATTGTTTTTTTAGGTGTCCACAAAATATGGAAATAGAAGCAACATTTTAGAAGAAATCTGTTTGATCAAATAACAATGTATATTTAACAAAGAAAACTGAAGGACAAAATATGCTATTATAAATGATACTCAATAATTCCTATTAAATACAATTAATCGTTTGCTGCGTATCATTGTATCATAAAAAGCAAACTTTTTCAACTCCTATTAACTGTTTGAATAAGTTCACGTACTAAAAGTAATTTTATCACTAAAATAAATATGATCTGAGTTTCTCATTACAAAAGTGTATTAAGATCTTAAGTAAACAAATCAGAATATATTCAGCTTTACACAGATTTAAAAATTGTACAGATGATAAAATTATAATGCACTGGGAAAATAGTGGCAAGTAATATTGATACAATTCTGGACGCGGAGAGTCGGTTCTAAGATTTATTGTGGCACGATCATGTTCAGGATACGTATCCTCGTTGTATATCAAACGTGAGTTCGATATACATCAAACGTGAGTTCCTGCTAGACGTCCCGTTTTGTAATTTTCATGAGACGAAGTGGCACAAGTTGCAATAGTATTACCGTCGCCAACTCAAAGGCTCCAGCATTTTCTGAAATCTGATATTTTTCCTGGTGAAGCGCGCATTTCTACTACCTTGAAAACTCATACGCTTCTGCGAAATTTTATAATTATCTTAATTCAACGGAAAATGTAACTAAAAGGCTTCCAAGGGTATTATATTACAAATGCGAAGTTTTTAGTAAATTCAAATTAAAAGTATTTCGGTTCATATAATTAAACATTTGGTTCATTTAATTTTATGCAACATAATTTGTTTCTTACAGTCTTATAAAATAAATTGCATTTTATTGTGTGCATTTGTTTTGATAACTTAATTTTCAAAACATTGTTATATTGTATTCCTATTCTGTGAATCTTTTAATTGTTAATGGATTTATTTTTGGGGTCACTACGATTCCATTTTTTATTAGTTAAAATATTTACATTCGACATGTTTCCTACTAATTCAATCATACTCATCGAACAACTACAGAATTCAGTCATTTTTAACACTAGAATTTTGCAAGACAAAGTTGAAGTTTTGAAATACAAAAGTAATTCCTTTTATTTTAATCTTTCATATTGTTTGTTAAATATTATGAATTCTGATTATCTTCGACTATACAATCATTATTGATGTGTAGTATAACATCTGCCGCAATTACCAGAATGAAAAAGTTGACAAATTTTTGTCAAGTAAATGGCTTGCTCTAATTATATACCTATTAATGAAAAAAAATATGAATAATTTAATACATTCCAGCATCTAGCACAAAATCTTAGTTTTTTTTTACATTTAAGTTTACATCGCTTGACAAAGTATACACGAAAGATAAAATACGTATTGTTGGTTTATTCTGTGAGATAGTTTATAACAAAGTGAATGAGTTTATTAAAAATTCATAAATCAATCAATCATGTTGTTTACGTGCATGTCACTAATGTTTCTATCTTCGAATAGGATCGCAAGATTAGCATAATATCCAATGAATAATAAGATTTGGTCTAATACTAAATTACTTTTGTACTTTAAGATTACTAAAATTACTTTTTGTACTTTTTATCATTATGTCCGGAAAAGACGCAATGTCGTTGTTTCAACAGTTATTTTCAGGGAAGATTCGTAAAAATCACTTGCCCTCGTTGCTGTTACACGAGAATTCTCTCTCGGGAAGGAAATTACAGTGTGCGTTTCAGAATGCGGAAAAATCTACCTCTTAAGACGTTTACGAAGATATGTACGTAAGGCGATGACAGTCTCGCCACACCTAAAATATAAATGGAAAGGCAACAGGTGGCCAGTGGCCATTGTGGCTACAGAGAAAAGCTCAGCTTTTGAGCTTCTGACAATATATTATATTCGCGTCATCAATGCAAATGTTGGGCGTGTCTGCATGAGTTTGTATAAGAACGGTAATATTGTAACCTGTTGACACGTTAGCTGAAATTCAAGTCGTTGTAATACGATTAGGAATTATTTCTTTCACAACTCCTTTAATCTAATTTTTATGAACACATGTACTCAACCAGATGAATATTCATGACCAGCACCATTTCGTAACGAAAATATTCAGTGCTGTGTATACTGTTTCAAAATTTTTATTTAAACTTCTATTAAAAATATATTAAAATTTGTATCTTCATTAAAAATCTATTATAATTCAAATTTGCAGTCAAATTTGCAAGTATAATAAAAGTTCATTATGAATAAAATTTGTGTACAAATTTATTACAATTAATTTAGATCCTATTTGCAATTAACTAATTTAAATTTGTATTAAAAATCTAATACAACTTAAAATTTCTATTTACAATTTCATTAAACAGTCCGTAGTTTGTCGAGTCTGACTCATAATGGAGATTTCTAATAGGAACCTTTTTAATAAACCTGTTAACTATGAATGTTATTCCGTTCATTTAAGTGAGAATAAAGTTTTGTTCTTTTATCATCAATATTTTATCCCTCAAGTAAACGTAGGCATACAATAAATATAAATATTATTTTTCTTTTAAGAAATTATTATAACCGAAAAAGTTCTAATCATAATAATTTGAAAGATAATGGTACACTAACTGGTTAACATAACTATTATTAGTGCTTCGTAAAATTTTTATTAGTTCGTCCAATATTTTCATTGTTTCTGTAAAATTATGGTACAATTATCGATAGGATTGTCCCGTATGAAAAACTAAACGGCAAACGTACAATAAATTGTTTTCACTTGATGCCACGTTTTCCAAAAAATTGAATTCGAAATTTGGCAGAGTACACGCGCGCTTCGGTAACTCCCAACTGGTTACGCATGGTATAATCGATAGGAGGTTATTCTACATGCGAAAATAAGTAAAAAATGTAGAATGAAATTGTTCCATCGGGAACCTTGTTTCCCAGAAAGGCCAATTGAAAAATTTGTCAAGCACACACCGCCACTCGGCCAAATTCCAATGGAACATGCCCAAACTCAATTTTTTAGGAAATGAAGCCTCCTACAGAAATTATTATTTTACATTTCAACTTATTTTGATCCGTAGCATAACCGCCTCTCAATTTTGCCTGCATTTAATCAAGAGTCGGCCACGTGCACACGTATTCGACAAATATTTAATTTTGATTCCCTGGAAACCGAGATTTCGAGCGAACAAATTCTGTATCACGATTCAGAGTTGTTTTTTCGCGTAGAATTATTTTGCAGACTTTTCTTATTATCTTGTTTAAGCCAATTACGTGAAAAGTTGATTAAACATTGCGCACCGTATTACAATAAATAATATGAAACCTTTCTGTTTTTAAGACGAACTGCTTTCCTTCTGCTCGAATTAATGGCAATTCGAGCAAATGCACGTTTGTCTTTTTTGTATGGTACGATTCCACAGGTTTACGAACGAACGACAAATGACACATGCGTAACATTTTTACCAATGCCGGTCGGGTATTAAATGGACGTGGATGATTCAAAAATTGTTCGCATCGATTGTACGTGTATTTTAATCAGGAACGATTTCGCAGCCAGTGATATCGGCGCTGACGAGCTGCCAGTTATTGCATTCGTTACGAAAAACGCTTTTGTTATTACTATTTCCATGTTGCTTTGGATCCGTTACCGGGAAGCACAAAGCTGGAATTTGTGAAGTTTTTCACGGGCTCTCTCTCTCTCTCTCTCTCTCTCATCTATTTTTCAAATCCTTGAAAAGATTCATAAATTGGACGAAACATACTCTAGTTTCGTATGCTTGTTTAAACGACAAGCTTTCTTTGTATAAAAATAAGTATTCTAGGAAAGCTGAATGTCATTAAACTTTTTATAATTTAATATCACAGCAACGCAGGATTGTGTGACAGTTTTCTGACAATAAGGGAAACACTGCAACGTTATTAACACTTTATCTAAAGGCAGCGTTTTTAATATTCTTTTAAAATCGGAAACCAACAGTTAAGGGTTTCTGAAAACATAAGTTCTTTCAAAATTAGTGTTCAAAAAGAAATGATTCAACTTCTGTTAGACAGCTTTCATAGCTTCGGCTCACTCATCGAATAGCCTATTAGTAGGCTTTCGATAAAGCGTTAAAAAGTAATGGTCTTTTTATCGGTATAATTTCACGCAAGTTTCATTTGCGACTGCCCCTAATATTGTAAAAAAGCGTCGCTTGAAATCCTTAAGTAATCGCTCGGAAATTCCGTTCTTTAGCGAACCTTCAATATGAATTAACGCCGGACATGTAAATTTAGGTGTCAACATACAGGGCGCGGCCGCTATGATGATACCACCGGGTATGACGTCATTCTTCACACAAAAGTAACCCGAATGAATAGACCGAAATCCTTTTATCTGAGACATTGTTTCAACGGAAAACAATGGAAATGTTATCCGCCAGTGCTTACAATAAGTAGAAACAATGAAAAATAGGTGGGCATGCCAATCATTTTATTGGATACCACGAAAACGTAATGATTTTTACCTGGGCTCCCTCGAAAACGAACCATGGACAAAAGAAACAAAATTCAAAGGATTCTGTGTTTTGAATTTAGTTTTACATGGGGTATTACCTTCGATCCGGTTCGAACAATGTTGCGGGTATTTCGTGCGAGGATTAAAAACAGGATTGTGTGGAAAATTAAGCGACAGTTTGTGTTGTCTTCATTTATCGATACTCTGTTACTCGAGAAAACAAAATTCATACTTTTGAAATAATGTTAGTAACGTCTTA